GGGATCACAGAAAGACCAGGGGTGCCTGAGTGCGGCAGAGCTCCCAGGTATCACAGCAGGGAAGCTGGCTGCAAAGACAGAGCCCAGGAGTGGGCTACCAGCTCGGGGCTGCCATAAACCCTGATATGGGGCACAGTCGGGCCACTGCTCTTCCAGCAGGGACCCAACAAGCGGCAGATCCGGGGAGACTCCCCTTCTTCCCCCAGAAGGAGCGGCGCATGAGTGCACCGCAGGGATCTGCTGGGTCCACACCAGGTCTCCACATCAGGTCGTGTGCCAGAGATAGAAACGCTCCGGTCACAGGCCGTGTGAGCACGGAGTGCAGCTGGAGACCGGGGAGATGGGAGTGACTGCTTTTCTCTGGGGGCTCACTGAGGAATGGGGTCCCGAGTTCTCAGTTCCCCCGGGGCGGAGATTGGGAGGCTGCCATTTTCACTCTCCTCCTCCAAAGCTGTAGGGAAAGCTTGCAGGAACAAAAGCTCCCTAGAGCAAACCCGAGCAGATTACTTAGCCCAGCCCCCTGCAAAGGCGGGGCAATTCTGCCTCTGGCAAAGACATTTGAGAACCACTGCAATGGGCCCCTCTCCCAGAAGATCAGCAAGAACAGCCAGCCAAGACCAAGTTTACTGATCAATGAGAACGGCAGAATGACAGCACTAGGGGAATACAGCACATAGAATTCATGGCTTTTCCCCCATGATTCTTTAGTCTTTCAAAGTTAATTTTTTAAATTTTATTTTTTTCTTTTTCTATTTTTTTAGTTGAATTTTTCTTTCCTTTTTCAACCAACATCTTATCAATTCTTTTTTTAAAATCTTTTTAAATTTTCATTTTTACATTCATACTCTATCCCTTCATTGTATTTAATCTTATTTTTTGTATATATGTAAGTTTTTCTTTCTTTAAAATTTTGGGATACAGTTTCTTCTAACAGAACAAAATATACCCTAAATCTAGTGTATGGCTTTGTTTTAGTCTCCCGCCTGATCATATTCTCTCCTTTTTTTTTTTAATTCTTCTTCTTTCTTTTTTCAACCAACTTCTTGTCAATTCCTTTTATAAAATCTATTTTAATTTTCATTTTTACAATCATATTCCATCCCTTCATCATATTTACCCTTATTTTGTGTATATATATAAGTTTTTCTTTCTTTAAAAATTTGGGAGGCAGTTTCTTCTAACAGACCAAATACACCCAAAATCTAGTGTGTGGCTCTTTTCTATTCACCAGCCTGATCATATATATATATTTTTTCCTTTCTTTTCCCCCCAGGTTCAGGTCTCTTCTGATTTGTTTAGTATATATTTTTGGGGGGTTGTTGTTACCCTGTTAGCATTTTGTTCTCTCATTCATCTGTTCTTCTCTGGACAAAATGACAAAACGGAAAAACTCACCTCAAAAAATAGAACAAGAGGCAGTACCAACTGCGAGGGACCTAATCAATATGAACATTAGTAAGATATCAGAACTAGAGTTCAGAATGATGATTATAAAGATGTTAGCTGGGCTTGGAAAAAAGCATAGAAGATACCAGAGAATCCCTTTCTAGAGAAATAAAAGAAATAAAATCTAACCAAGTTGAAATCAAAAAGGCAATTAATGAGGTGCAATAAAAAATGGAGGCTCTT